AAAAAAAAAAAAAAAAAAAAAAAAAAAAAGAAAAAAAAGAAAAAAAAAGTGCTTACTGCTCTTCCAGAGGACCCAGGTTCAGTTCCCAGACATGGAGGCTTGTAAATGTCTATAACTCCAGTTTCTGAGGATCCTACAGCCTCTTCGGGCCTCTGTGGACACTGCACACAAGTGGTACATGGACATATATGCAGGGAAACACTTATATTCATAAAATAAAAATAAGTAAATCTTAAAAAAAATCACTACAGTACAACACCTACACCTAAGGCTCAGGGGAGGAACAGAAAGATTGTATAAGCCTGAGAATCATGGAGTTTGCTGTAAGATGGTGTCTTGTAGGAATGTCAGAAGATACACCCATAGTCTCACCAGCACAGCTGTCTAAACATGAGCTGAACGAGGACGACAACAACAGACATGCTGAAGTGGTATAAGGCTTTGATACTACACAAAAAAAGATCTACAGGCAACCAAGGAATGCTGAGATCGAGAAAAATAATTTTCCCCAGGAAGAGCACAGCAATTGGTTATCTAATACCAACTGGTCAGCCTTGAAAACACATACATACAAGTAACATTATACAGACTGAGAAAGTTGTATTTATGTATTTAGTGTACACACACACAATGTAATGAAAATTAAGGAAAAAGAGGGAGGCCATGAATTTGCAAGGGAGCAAGGAGGGGTATATGGGGAATTTTGGAGGGAGGGAAGGGAGAAATGATATAATCTCAAAAATGAAAGAAATACTTTAAAGTAAATCATTCGTTCATTTATTTGTGATAGGATTGCATGTAGCAGAGGATGCCTTCCCTCTCCGTATAGCAGAGGGGGAGATGACTTTGAACTTTTGATCCTGCTTCTACCTCCCAGGTGATGGGATTAAAGGCTTGCACCACCATATCTTATTTTATCGATTATTAATTTATGATCATTATTTACTAAGTGATGTAATGTCTATAACCATAAATTCCTCCACTAAGATGTAGGCATTACTAAGACGGTTAAGCTAATACCTCAAGGAACTGTTATGAGAATTAAATGAGTTTTTGAACATCAAGTGGTTAGAATGGCTTCTGAGGCACAGTGAGCATTGGGGCCCCACTAATTCAGTCTGTGTAGGAATGAGGACCCCCTTCTGCTTAGGAGTGGAGCAGAAGTAATAGTCCTCCCCAGGGATGAGTCCCTAATTAGTTATCCAACACCAAGAGGTCGGCCCTGAAGTCATATGCATACAAGGAACACTAAATGGACTGAGCAGGTTATATTTATATGTTTAGGTATACATACATACATATTATGTAGCAATAACAATTAAAGAAAAAGAGGCCATGATTTCGAGAGGGAGCAGATTCTGGGGGTTCACAGGAAGGACTGGAGGGAAGAAAGGGAAGGGAAAAATGATGTGACCGTATTTTAATTAAAAAAAAAAAATCTCTCCTAAGCTTGGGGTGGTGACACACACCTTTCATTCCAGCACTCAGGAGGCAGAGGCAGTCAGATCTCCATGAGTTCAAGGCTGGCCTGGTTTACATAGTGAGTTCCAGGACAGCCAGAGCTACAATGAGAAACCCTGTCTCAAAAAACAAAACAAAAAACAACAACAAAAAACCTAGAGTGTTTGGGTACAGGCTGTGTTAAATCACTTGTCTAGCTTGTCCAGCATTCACACGGCCTGGGCTTCATCCCTAGCACAAGGCCCTAAATCTCTGATAGTGCAACAGTCGTGATTGATAATTATGGTGTTTGTTGCTGTTAGACAGCTTACCCTCAGCCACTGCTAAAGTATTTCTATACATTTATGCATTATCTTATTTAACGGTGTGTGTGTGTGGTGTAAGGACTTAGACATGGGGCCTTATACATGCTCAGCAAGCATTCTACCAGTGATCTGCAACCACGTTTAATCTCTCTGCCCCACTTCTCCCCCCCCCCTTTTAAGACAGAGTCTCATCTAATGCAGTCTAGGCTAGCCGGGAACTTACTGTGTAGCCAAGGAAGATCTTAAACTTTTGATCATCCACCTCCAGAATGCTGGGATGAGAGGCACAGGGTATGATGCTAGCTTTACATGGAACCCCATGCCATGTAAGCATTCTACAAATTGAGCTGCATCTCCAACCCCCACACTGAATCTCAGTGGGAACCTATGACTTAGACACAAGTTTATAGATAACAGAACTGAGACCCAAGAGAAACAGCAAGAGACCCTGCAGAAGAGCACACATGAAATGTACCATCAAGACTGGGTCCCAGTCATTTTTTTTCCAGTGAAACTTCAGTTACAAGAATCTATCACTAAACAGAAAAAAACCAACCAAACAAAAATGCACAAAACCCTGAACAAACACAACAAAAGAACTGAACATCATTGGCGACTAACTCACCAATTTGAATTTTAAAAGCATTGCACTAAAACACAATTTGCCTCCCACCTTCGCCCCCACAGTGTTACGATCCAAACCCAGGACTTTGTGCAGCCAGGCAAACATTCTGCCACTGAGCTACAGCCCCAGCTCCGGAGATAGAGTCTTGCTATGTAAACCCAGGCTGGTTTTGTACTTGCTATGTAACCTAGGCTGGCCTTGAACTCATGATTGGGCCTCTTTCCTTAGCCTCCAGAGGGTGGGATTAGAGGCATGAGCTACCACATCTTGCAAAATACGATTTATCTTTTTTGCCGAGTTTTGTCACACCCCTTCTAAACTAAAGTCAGGTAGTGGGCTAGAGGC